TACACTCAGGTCCTTTGAGGGCAATGTCTGTTGACCAACTAGTTTAGAAATATATCAGTGTTTTAACAACCAGTGGGGTCATACCAGTGCATACTGGCGGAATGTCAGCCTTGCCTGGGGCTGTATGAAAATGCAGATTCTGGGCCCAACTCCAGACAGGTTGAATCAGAATTTTCAGAGCCAGGAAATNAAGAAGAATGGATACAGCTCTTAGTGTTGTGAGAAGACTCCAAAGTGACTAGGGCTTGGGTTTTCTAGCCAGACTAAACTCAAATCTTTCTTCTTTATCAGTTGGCCAATGTTAGGAGGGTTAATTGAACTCTCAGAGATCCAGTTTCCTCACCCAGAAAAGGAGACAGTAATAGTACTATCTTAACACAGATGCATCTTAACTGAAATATACACAAGGCAGTTAGCCACAGTGGCTGGAATAGAGTAGATGCTGAACAGAAAGTAGCTATCACTATTGCTGTTGTTATTAATAATTCAATTTTCTTTAATTCAGCATACAATTGCTGAGATACTAGGCACAGTGCTGGGTACTGGGGTTTCCAAGATAAATAAGAAATGGAAATTCCCTGCCATTCCAGTGGTTAGGACTCCATGCTTCACTTCCAAGGGCCTGGGTTTGATCTGTGGCCTGGAAACTAAAATCCCATAAGTCACATGCCAAGGCCAAAAAAAGAAAATAAATGCTTTGTGTCTTAGAAACACAGGTAATGAATGTGCCAGGCATAGCAGTGATATGGCCTCTCTTATATACATTGTTGGTGCCCTAAGTGGCAAGCCACCCAGCAAGGAATCAGAAAAAGGGTCAGGTGACATTTGAGGATTGAGAATTTCTGGAATTTGAATAATGAGAGACTTAAAGTAAAGATGTAGCCATGGGGAAAGGATATGTCTTTCAGGAAAGGGCCTGCCATTCAGGGTGCCTAGAAGTGACAACTCATGGTGTTGAGACAGGCGAGTGGCATGGTGTTCACAGAAAGGGCCTAGCCAGTCCTGGCCTACAGGCACAATGGCTGTGGGAAAATGAAAACCAGCCTATGTCTTTGTGAGCATTTGGTCGACTGACTTGGAGTTCACTCATGTCTTAGAATGCACTGCTGCTGCTGCTAAGTCGCTTCAGTCGTGTCCGATTCTGTGCGGCCCCATAGACGGCAGCCCACCAGGCTCCCCCGTCCCTGGGATTCTCCAGGCAAGAACACTGGAGTGGGCCGCCATTTCCTTCTCTAGAAGACCAAATTAAAATGCACCCCATGAAGAAATTGACTTGATCCACTGATTAGTGATTTTTTAAAAAATTGTTTGCTACCTATAGATGTTGAAGATTAGCCAATAAAAACACTGAATTTGGTTTTGGCATAATTGAGCTGTCCTCACTAAGAGTAATTAACCAATGTGTTTATTTAGTTACTGTCTGAAGCAATTATAAGAACTTGGCAAGAGAGGACAAAAGCATGTTAATTGTCCTCTCTTATACAGGATTGTATATCTTCTTATACAATCACAGGAAGGCACCCGAACAGCTGATCCAGAAGCTGTATGAAGTTATTGCTATAAATTACAGTAGGAAATGGGGACCAGAATACAGAGCCTTTATAGTATTCTTTATGGTGATCTGCTGTGTGGTGAGCCCATTTTTGTCCACTTGCGTTCAGCTATGATACTGTGATATGGGCTTGTTTTTTTGGTTGCTCTGTATCTTCCTTCCAGAATGTGGGCTTCCAGTGTGAGCAGGGAACACTTTCTAGTTGTGGTGCCCAGGTTTCTCATTGCAGTGGCTTCTCCTGTTGCGGGCGGAGCATGGGCTTCAGTACTTACAGTGTCCAGGCTTTAGGGCACAGGCTCAACAGTTGAGGTGCACAGGCTTCGTTGCTTCATGGCATGTGGAAACTTTCCAGACCAGGGATCAAACCCATGTCCCCTGTCCTGGCAGGTGGATCNCTTCTTCATAAAGTATTAGTCGTTCAGTCATGCCTGACTCTTTGCAACCCCATGGACTGTAGCCTACCAGGTTCCTCTGTCAATGGGATTCTCCAGGAAAGAATACTGAAGTGGGTAGCCATTTCCTTCTCCAGGGGATTTTCCCAACCCAGGGATTGAACCTGCATCTCCTGCATTGCAGACAGATTCTTTACCATCTGATCCACCAGGGAAACCCTTCATAGAGGAAGGTTCTGTATAAAATTCTTTGACTTCACTGGGAGAATAATGCTACATAAATGCAAGAAATTACAATTTTGCCGACAGTCTAAACTGCCCTCCAGGTTTCAGTCTTCCTGGATTATGACGAGAAAAGAGGCAGTAGATGATTATTGAAATATCACCCAGTGATAAGACATTAAATTTGTGTGTCATACAGTAAATCTAGCTGTGACTTCTTCCTCTGCCACTTATAACTTTCAGGCCCCAGTTAACTTTTTGGTAAAATTGGAGAACTGGCTTTGATGACTTATAGCATCTCTTTCTGCTCAAAGATGCTATGATCCTGGACACCTCTACATCTAAACAAATTCTGCCAGAATTTCAAAGTAACTTTTATTTGCACAGGCCCATAGTTTCCAAAATACTGATCTTCAATGAAGAGTTTTATAGAATGAGTTCTTAGGAAACAAAGAACATTGTTTATCTCTTTAAGTATCTTATTTTTCTATTTTGGCTTTTTTTTTTTCCTTCTGAGTTATACAAGTATATGTTAAGTGGGCCATTTTGTTTGCTTGTTTTGACTGCACTGTATGCCATGTGGGATCTCAGTTCCCTGACCAGCGATCAAACCCGTGTACTCCGCAGTGGAAGCACAGAGTCTTAACCACTGGACCTCCAGGGAAGTCCTGAATATTGTATATTGATTACCCACTGTGCCAAACCCCTTCCATAGATTACTTCATTCAGCTTTCACAATAGTTCTTAGAAGTAGGAAAAATAATGACCTCCCAATGCTGTCCATTTCCTACTCCCTGGAACCTGTGTATATGTTAGGTTACACAGCGAAGAGGTATTCAGGTTGCAAGTGGAATTAAGATTGCTAATCAGTTGATCTTGAGAATTTATCTTGAGTTATCCCACAGTAATCACAAAGGCCTTTATACGTCAAACAGTGAGATGGAAGAGTCAGAATGAGAGGAGAAGATGTGATAACAGAAGCAGAGATTGGAGTGACACAATCGCTGGACTGAAAGACATAATAAAAGGGTCATAAACCAAGGAATGCAGGTGGCCTGTAGACAAGAAATGGAGTCTTTCCGCAAACCCCCAGAGGGAGCACAGCCCTGCAGACACCCAGATTTTAGCCCAGCGAGACTGATTTTGGACTTTCGACATCTACCACTGTAAGGTAATACCATTTGTGTTGTTTTAAACCACTCACTTGTGGTAATCTGTTGTAGCAGCCCTGGGAAATGAATACAAGTAGGTGCAATAAACCTAATAAACTGAGGAGGACACAGTCATAGAATATTTCAGTGACTTGCCCAAGGTTACCCAGCCACTAAATGGCAGAGTCAGAATTTGAGCTTGAGTGTATTTGGCTTTGAAGGCCATGCTCTTAACTACCACATGGTAACCTCGGACTGCTGTGTATAAGATGCAACTTTGGGCTGTACAGGCTACAAAGAAGCACAAGAACCTAGTGCTTAACACTGGAGAATTTATGAACCTGCAAAGGGTCAAACAACCCAACAGAATTAATAATTACCTTTCATTGGAACAACTGAACACCAGGCACTTTACCTATGTACTGTTGGCACTATTACCCCTATTGTGAAAAGGAAGGATATTACCATCTCTTATGGGCTAAATTGTGTCCCACCTTCCCTGCCCCCACTCCCCAAATTCATAAGGTGAGGTCCCAAACCCCAGTACCTTCGAATGTGTCAGCATTTGGACAGGGACCTTGAAAGAGGTGAGTAAGGTAAAATGAGGTTATTTGGGTGGGCCCTAATGCAAAATGACTTGATGTCCTTAGAAGAAGAGGGAATTAGCACACAGATGCCCATGCAGAGGGAAGACCATAGCCCTGCAGAGAGAAAGTAGCTGCCTGCAAGCCAAGGACAGAGGCCTCAGAAGAAACCAACCCTGCTGGGCAGGTTGATCTTGAACTTCCAACCTCCAGGACTCAGAGAAATGAAAATGCTGGGTTTTTTTTTCAGCCACCAGCCCTAGCAAATTAACACACCACTCATAAGTACATGGATCTCCTCTTACCCAGACTGCATACCTCATGACTAGAAGACTTGTTTACTCCAGATTTGAGGGCCTAGTTCTAAATCAGGACAGAGGAACCCAGGAGTGACTTCTCTCCTCTAGCCAATCCACTTCCAGCTACTTAAGCAGGTGCAAGACCTGAGTCTCAACACTCCAGGAGGGCAATGTGACCTCCCTGCTTCCTGTCACCTAAGCTTCTCTTTACCCCTCTGCCTCTTACAGGCTCCCTGGGTTCATTCACTCTCTTTAGTCCCTTCCTTCCACTGAAAGTCTGGTCTTTTCTTTCACTGAATCTCTAGTGTGGCTTCTCTGTCTAGTTCTACTGATGAATGGAGCGTGACTCTTAAAGGCAATGTGGGCAGGGGATAAGAATTCTTTACAGTAGTCTGGCCTTAGAGTGAGTTATCTTAAAAGGAAGCAGATTTTTCACATCACATGCGTGCTGAATCACTTCAGTCATGTCTGACTGTGACCCTGTAGGCCATGCCTGGCCAGGCTCCTCTGTCCATGGGTTTCCCCAGGCAAGAATATTGGAGTGGTTTGCCATGCCCGCCTCCAGGGGATCTTCCTACCCAGGGAAGGAACCCGCGTCTCATGTCTCCTGCATTGGCAGGTGGATTCTTTACTACTAGCACCACCTGGGAAGCCCTTTCACATCACATCCATTAGTAAATCCCTTATACCTCCCCCTGCCAGGGGTCCTGTTCTATTATTTGAATGCATCAATTGGATGCGTTAAGTTAGGAAAGGCTAGGTTGTGCCGCAGTAACCAACACCCAACCCAGCCTCACCGGTTTAACACAACCAAGTTTATTTCTTACTCATGTCACATGTACACTGTTTATCATAGTCACTGGGGAATTCAGGCTGATGGAGGCTCTATCTATTTCCTTGATGGCTCAGGCAGAGAAAGAGGATGTGGAGAATCATCCTGGCACATACAAACCTTTACTTGGAAATAACACACAGTACTTCCCCTCACATATCATTGGATGAAGCAAGCCAAATATTTACTCCCTATGTTAAAGAAGGTAGAGAAATGTGATTTTATCATGTGCCCAGAGAGAGAAAGAGAATACAAACAATTGCAAACAGCCTTGAAAATCACCTTGAGTTATCAGGGTGTCCACATGGGCGTACTTTTGACTGCATGTAACAGGACACCTGCCAGAAGTGGCTAAAGCCAGGGGGAGATTTATTTATTTATTTGGATTTTGGAGCAGAGAAAGGTTTATTGCGAGGCGACTAGAGACAAGGTGGCTTATGCCCTGAAAAACCCTGAGCTCCCTGAAGGGTTTTGGCAAAGCATTTTTAACGGGCAGTTTCGGAGGGTGGGGGTGGTCCGCAGGGTGCAGAATCAGTTGTACACAGTTCTCAGGCTGGCTGATGGTGAGGCAGCAGGGTGGTATCACAGGGGTTAATAGTATCAGTCCCTAAACTCCAGGAGACCTGGGGCTCTGCGCTCAGGTCAGTAAGTAGTTTTTCCATTGGTGGGGAGAGGGTCGGGTGGTTCACATCTGCAAAACAACTCAGGAAATTTGCATCAAATAATACTATCTAGGAACTTCCGAGAGGAGCTAAAGCTGAGGATACGGAGGAAACCCTGTCGTGAGGAAGGCCCCGCAGGGTCCTGTGTGATTACAATTCCAAAGCGAGAGATTTGTTATCTTATATGGCAAAGGGCCCATATGCCAGAGAGTCGCTGGCTTGATTCATCCACTGCCCCGTGCCATCACCCAGCACCCAAATTCCTTCTGGTTTCTGCCCTGTCATTCTCAGCCTGCTGTCCTAACCTCAAAGGCTGGCTGTCTTCACGGTCCAAAGATGGCTGCCTTCTCTCAGCTACTGCACACAGATGACAACACAGAGAGACAGGAGCGGGAATACGTCGGTCTCATATCCCTTTTTTCAAAACAGTGCAAAGCTCCCCAGAGACTCCCCGGCAGATTTTCCCTATCCCTTTGGCCAAAGTCGTATCATGTGCTCTTGTTTAAACCACCCACTTGGCAGGGGTCCCGAGACCACCAGGGCTGGCTTAAATGAAACAAGATTTATTTCCTAGGGCTGCCTGGGGAAGCCAAGTACTCCTACTCCCCAAAATAAAGGACATAGCCATTCAAAAAAGAATGGATCCAGCTGGGATCCTGTTTGTAAGACAAAAAGGGTATGGAATTACCTCTGGATAGAAAACTTAACAGTGGCAGGCTCCAGGAAGTGATAGGTGAGAGGGCAAACCCTTCTGTGTCTATCTCACTGAATCTTCCCACTAAATTTATATCGCAGATTTTCTTGCCCCATCTCACGGATAAGAAATGCAGCATTAGAGACACATGGGTTTATCTGACTCCAAAGTCCTACTTATTCCCCTTGGCCTGGCCATTTATCCACCAAGTACGATTACAGAGCAGAAAGTCAAATTAATTTTTTTTAAGTCCTTTGAGGAAAGCAGAGGAGGATGAAGTGAATCCCTGCTTTCAGTTAATCAAAGATGAGCCCTGGTACAAAGAGGATATCCATGATCAAACTGGCTACTGGTGAAATCTCTTACTAAAGACGTCAACCCAAGATCCCTTTTTAACCAGGGACAGTGCTTACTTCGTGGCAAGGAAAAACGAGCAGGTGTGTTAATCTGCAACTTTATCCAGGGCTAAATTTAGAAGAGGAATGTGGCCAAGTTATCTTTGAAGCAACTCTCCATTATTCCAGGGTTGAGGCAAAATGTTTTATGTCTCTCTCCTCAGCAAAATTTGTATTAGCTTCCTGGCCATTAAAAAAGAAAAAAATGACATCAATTTAAAATTCAGCTCTGCCCTCAGCCTTAGCTGTGGCTAAGTGGTGAATGTTCTAAGGGCCCAAACTTAAGAATCCAGTTGGATAGGTGGAGAAGCAGGGCAGGCAGCTCTTAGCACGGACAGACCAGGCCAGGGACCCCACAGCCCACACTGTATTGCTTGCTGCCCAACTTCAGCCTGGACACTTAACACTTCCGGCCAGATCATAAAGCCAGTCTCTAGTCCTGCCCATAGCTGATAGATAGCACTACCCTTCACGGGGGCTTCCCTGGTAGCTCAGTCAGTAAAGAATCTTCCTGCAATGTGGGAGACTCGGGTTTGACCCCTGGGTCGGGAAGGTCCCCTGGAGAAGGGAATGGCAGCCCACCCCAGTATTCTTGCTTGTTAAATCCCATGGACAAGGCTACAGTCCATGGACTCACAAAGAGTCAGATACAACTGAGTGAATAAACGACTGCCACCACCCTTTAGGGACATCCTCCTAAGCCCCAGGTGCTGAGGTAAGCACACAGCTTGTATCAACACACATAATTCCTACTCCAAACCCTCTGAGGTGGATGGCTTCCCCAGGGATGAGTAAACAGAAGCTCAAGGAAGCTTAGTGGCTGTTCCAAAGTCACAAAGAAGTGGCCAAGATGGACTTCTGTCTCAGGTATGGGTTGCAGCCTTAATGCTCTGAACAGCTGTACCCTACTTCTTCTGCTCATTGAAGAGCTGGATTTTATTCTAAAATCCCCTTGAAAAGTTGACCAGGTAGATATGGATATGACTATCTCATATGGGTTTGGAGAAGTTACACAAAACTTGCCCCAAGTTGCACAGTTAGTTGAATGATGGAGCCAGAATTTGAATCCAGGGCCAAACGGCCCCACACCCAGGGGTCCTTCCATCCATGAATCACCTCCCTTGGTATATGAGCTGCTGATTCCAGCTTTGCCCACTTCTGAGTGACCTACCACCGCTTCTTTCTAAAAAAGCATTGCCATATTTTCAAAATCATGAGAAAAAGGATTCTGCTTGACATCATAAGTTGCTTTTGAGATATATATGTGTATAAATTTCCCCCTCTTGGAAATAGCTGCAAGTTTTCTAAAGGAGTCTTCTGCTGGTAAAAATGCCCCGTCCATTTTCCTAAGGTTCCCTTCAGTTTGGCATATTTAAATAAAGAAAGACTTGAACCTGTCGCTCAGCTCTCACTTTGCATGAATCATAACAGAACTGTTTGTGGGGAAACAGCCTAGTTCTAGGAACTGGTAATAGAAGCTGGGGTTTGTCACCTTCACGGGTGCATCTCCAATCCCACTTGGGTGCTTGTCTGGGGCCCATATGATGCTGCACCCTTGACCCAAGGGGAACTGAGCAATTGGGCAATGGCCACTTCAGCTGATGAATGCCCAAGTCATACACACACAGCTGCCTCTGTGGCCAGACCCCGAGCAGAGGACAAAGAGGAAAGAATCTTCAGAGGGATGGCTTATACCTCCCTTCAAAACATTATTTCTAAATCATGAGTCATATTGTAATGACAGTAACAGCAATAGCAGGGAACCCGCATTGAACACTTAGCTATGATTATTCTCACTAATGTTATTGCTTCATTAATTGACTGAACAATCAAAATAGCTTGTAAGTTGCAATTATTCTTACAACAAAGTGTAGCACTTATGAGTTCAGGCTGTGAGGAAAAAAAAAAAAGAGTTCAGGTTGTGAGGGCAAAGAGACGGAGGTCTGACGCCACTGTCACCTCTTGCTGGTCGGGTGAGTCTGGAGGTTACTTCAAATTTCTAGGCCTCAGTTTTCCTCATCTGTAAATTGAAGAGGATTATTAGCATTCCCTGGAGGGGCTGGGAGGATTAAATAGAATCATTTATGTAAAGTAATTTCCAACATGCTTGTTGGTTCAGAATGAGGATTCAGAGATTTGGAAGGGGGTAATGAACTATTAGAAGTGAAATGCTGGGAAATTGTCATTTCTCTTCCTTCAGAAAGAGCTGGCCTTCTAGGGCCAGCTGTTCTCTGCCTGAACTCTGTAAGCCCCTAAAAGGATCTGAGCTTCCCATGAGTGATGATACAGAAAGAAAAACAAAGAATGAAGAATGACGTGATCTCTAGAAACAAACTACAATTTCTTGACCACAGGTCAGAAAAGCTGCTCAGGTGTCTCGCTCGTGAGATTTTAGCAGGTGGCAGGATGGTGGCGTGCACAAGGAAAAAGTCCGTTTTTTCCGCTTTTTTCTTTTTTATTGAAGTAATATGTTAATTACTGTTGTGCAACAAAATGACTCAGTTACACATTATATATTAATGCATTTGTTTTCATATTCTTTTCCATTATGATTTATCACAGGATATGGAATATAGCTCCAACTTTCATTTCTGCCTGGGATTTAGTCCTGAACATATTTTCTCACAAACACAAATCCCTTGTGTTTGAGGGGAGAGGATGGTATTCATTTTTGCTGTGGGGTAGGCTTTGAAACAGAGTGAGAAATTGCTGCAAAATGAATATTCAATTGGGGAATGTCAGTGGTGCGGTTTTCTTAAGAGTTGAGTTTGTCTGTGGATCTGATTATTTTTCAGGACAAACCCAGTGACCCTGCTCTGAGTTTCAAGGTTCCCTCTCCTCCCCCCTAATATCTACTTGAGCACTAACCATGTACCAGGGCGAGGCTACATACCACAGGATATGGAGTCATGGACTTGATGGAGTGTTTGCTCTCAGGAGTGTCCAATCTAGTTGGAGAGATAGACATTGAGCAGATTCCTTTACCACCAAAATTGTCATTGCAATAGATCCCAGGAAGGAAAAGGCTGGAGGCGGTAAGGATAAGAGTAAGGAAGAGGGCCACTGCACCTGGTCTGGGAGTTCAGGGAAAGCCTCTCCCAGGAAGTGATGTTTGAACTGAGAAATGGAGGGTGAGCAGAAATCAGTCAAGCAAAGAGCGTCTGGTGGGGATGTGGGTGCGGAAGCTTAGCGTTTTCAAGAAACAAGGAAATGACCAGCGTGGCTGGAGTCCAGCACGCAGAGGGAAGAGTGACGTGACCTGGAGCTGGTCGGGGGGAGGGTGGGGCAGAGAGGAGACAAGGCTGGCCTACTTTCCTCTCACTTTGCATGGCTCCTTTTAGCTCTGACATGTACAGTTCCCACAGGGGAGCTGTCACGGGGCTGCAGGTCTGCAGGCCAGTGTACTCCTCGGTCTGGCTCAGGCCTCCTCCCTGTGGCTGTCTGGCCCTGCTGCCTTCCCTCGCCTGTGGTAGGTTTGCCTGCCATTTTCCTGGGAGCTCAGTGGCCCCCTGAGCACTGAGACCAGAGCAGTCCTCACTAAAGATTTTGGGAGCCCTGGTTCAGCGTTACCCAGTTGATCTGGCTTCCTCTTGCACTGCCTGTGATCTGATGTCCCAGTAAAGAACCAAGTCCCCACTTCCTAGCCCAGCCCCCAGGGTCCCTTCAGAACAGTGAGAATGGTTGCCTTTCACATGGCTGGTTCAGAGCTGTTTCACTGGACCAGGGCTGAACTGTGGTTTCTCTGGGTCAAGTTCTCTGGGTACAAAGGGGAGCAGACCTAGACAGGGTCCTGCTTTGGAGCAGCTTGCAGGCCACCAGGCAGTATGCTCAGCCTCTTCCCTCTGATCCCATCCCATCCCCAGAAGAACCCCGTGCAGTAGGGACTGCCATTGCTGCCCATTTTAGAGATGAGGAGACTGAGTCAAAGAGGAGCTAAGCAGCTGGCCCACAGTGACACTTGTCAGTGGTGGCAAGGCTGGGATTTAAACCTGTCTGATCCCAAGGCCCAGGTTCTTAACCCACGTCTTCCACTTCTCTTTAGCTCGGAATTTTTGGAAGTGTCCTTAGACTGTGATTCTTCCACAGCTGGGGCCCTGTCTTACGGATGTCTTGTGGGTACTCCACACTCCATGCTTTCCTGTGGCTGCAACTTACCTTCCTGTTTTCACAGGCAGGGCTTCTCTCTGTCCCTGCCATCTGCTGGCCCAGTTCCCTCCACTGGCCTGCTGCTGACACGTTTTGACTCCCAACTGGGTGACGGGACAGAGTAGGCACTGTAGTAACCCAAAGAATGACCCGAAGGCCTGAAGTTCTCCTAACAGTTGTGACTTCAAGGAAGTGTTTCTCAAAGGGGATGGCATCATCCTTAGAGGGTGTTTCCTGGTGACAGAGCTTTTCATTTTCACAAGGATTGCAGTGCTCTGGGGATGGAGATGAGGAAGTCTCACATCCTCCTGGCTTTGGAGACCAGTATGAGACAGAACTGGGGGGCAAAGAGCTGTCTTGTGTCCCCTCAAGATTTGAAACATCCCCTCCCCACAATGATATAGATTAACAACTTATTTTTTTTATTATTATTTGAGCACAGATCTTAACTTTTTCTTTCTTTTTTTTCATATAAACACAAACACCAGCATGGTTTCAATAGGCACCATGCCTCCTAGGAATGCTGCTGCTGCTGCTGCTAAGTCGCTTCAGTCGTGTCCGAGTCTGTGCGACCCCACAGATGGCAGCCCACCAGGCTCCTCTGTCCCTGGGATTCTCCAGGCAAGAACACTGGAGTGGGTTGCCATTTCCTTCTCCAGCGCATGCATGCCTGCTAAGTCACTTCAGTCGTGTCCGACTCTGTGTGACCCTATGGACAGCAGCCCATCAGGCTCCTCTGTCCACAGGATTCTCTAGACAAGAACACTGGAGTGGGTTGCCATTTCCTTCTCCACCTAGGAATGCTTCTTCTGTATAAATGGAAGGAAGGCTCTAGTACTTTACCAAGAGTTGTTCGTCATTTTGAAAATGACATTATGAACAGCAGTATCACATTTGGAATCTGAATCACTAGGGCCACATAGTTACATCAGTTTTCATTTATAGCTATTTCATTCATGGAGAGTCTGTGTATGCCACTCTAGCCCTTATTTGGAAATAGCAAATATAAAGCAAAAGGGTCAACAACATTCAGTCAAATATGGTCTAATTCCCCTGAAATCCAGATGTAATCCTTAAAAATAGGTGCAAACATTGACTACTCACTTATTCTTGAATCATCTGAGCATTTTCATGTTACAAAATACTTATTATACTGTAAACTATATTTTTTGTATCTCACTTATGTGACAAAACAGTACATTGATTTTTAGAAATTGTTTGTAGGTAGATTATACCAGCTGTGAATTGCAATTCAGGACAGTAAGGACAATGTTACAAAAGCACTGTTTTAAGAAAAAGGGGTTATGATGGAATTTTGAACTATAGTTTTAAGAAAATGAGATCTATTTCCTAATTTTGGCACCAGAATTTATAGAGAAAATAAATAATTGTCCCATCCAAGCCTCCTTGGTAATCAAGGATTTACTTTATTGGATATTTTTTCTCCAAAGACTTTCCTATTCTCTTGGAAGTATTTTCAGAAACAAGGCAGGATTTTATTTTGCACTCTGCCCACGCCCCACCCCCCACCCCACTTTGAGAAGTTTCTAGGGTTTTACTTATCGAGGAAGATTTTGGTATTTAAAAAGAGCCAATGGATTTTCAGACCAAACTGTCACGGCCAAGCTGGGTGATCAAGCTAAGGGATGATATTCTTGGTCATGGGCTGTAAGATTTGGGGGCAGAGATTGTGTTTGATCTATCTCTGCCTCTTCGCCCCAGCACTTAGTGCGCAACAATAGTAGATGGTCAGTATTAAGATGAACCAAATTTGGCAAAATTTGGATTGAACTAGATCAATCCACGTTATCATACTGTATTTAAATAATATAGCAGTGTGTACTGGACCAGAAAATGGAACTTCCTCCTCTGGATGTTAGTGAACACATTTAAAAGAAGCTATGCCACCACCCACTCCAATAAGAGGGCATTGGGGGCAGTGACCAGTGGATCAGCCTGAGTTGATGCATGTCAGTTAAAAATTGGTCCTTCTGCATTCTATCCATTCCGTTGGGAATCCTACTTTCAGAGGAGTAATGGCAGATTTTGAAAGTTCTTATCTCCTTACAGTAAACACTAATACTAATGAGTCTTCTTCTGGACTCAAAATACAGTCATATGGCTCCCCTAGTCCCTCAGTGGTAAAGAATTCATCTGCCAATGCAGGAGAGGCAAGTTTGATTTCTGGCTTGGGAAGATCCCCTGGAGAAGGAAACGACAACCCACTCCAGTGTTCTTGCCTGGGAAATCCCATGGACCGAGGAGCCTGGCAGGCTATAGTCCATCGGGTCTCAAAGAGTCAGACAGGTGAGCAACTAAACAACAACAACAACAACAACAACTCCGCATCCTCCAGGCACATTCGGGTGTTCAGCCAACCAGAGAGCAAGTCTAATGGTGTATGAGGAGTCCACAGATATGGAGCCGACTGTCTCCTCTTATAGAAGGGACACGAGAATCCATGGACCTCGGTGTCTGGGTCCTGGAATCAATATCCCACGGATACCAAGGGACAACCATGTTTCCATGGAAGATGTGTGTGTGTGAGGGAGGTAGGCTCAGGGAAAGGGAAAGTTTCGTGTATTTCTTCAGCTTGAAAATGAGATGATATCACAATACTGTTTTAAAATGCACTCTACTTTCTGTATCACAGTCCACTTAGAACTGTTATTGAGCCCAAGCTTGTTCCACTCACCCCACGACAGGCCAGTAAATTGGGAGACGATGTTTGAACAAGGAATAACGATTGTAATCGGAAAGCTAGCAGACCCAGAAGACGGCAGAGTAGAGTCCCCCCCAAAATCCCCTCTCAGCCCTAAGTCGGGGCTCCTTTTCTACACGGAAGCGGGAAGGGCGGGGCCCGCTGTGGCACTGACCAATGACTGAGTGGGGCCGCTAACGGTCGCTGGTTGGCAGTTGCTCTCGCTAACGGTTGCTTGCTTGGGGGAGGGGCCCATGGTGGCCTGATCAGTAGCTGAGGGAGGATCGTATAGCTCAAGCCTGCCCTAACAGTGTTACAGAACCCTGTTGCAGGCAAAAGTTGTCGCTAGCCTGGCTCTGAAGGAAATTCCAATGAAGGAATGCCAGAGATGTTCTGAAGAAAGGAAGACAAGAGGGCGATTTTAGTGAAAAATATGACTTCAGCTACTGGCTCAAATGTTAAAAGAATCCGCCTGCAATGCAGGAGACACCGGTTCTATCCCTGGACCAGGAAGATTCCCCTGGAGAAAGGAATGGTAACCCATTCCAGTACTCTTGCCTGGAGAACTCCAAGGACAGAGGAGCCTGGCGGGCTACAGTCCATGGGGTCGCAAAGAGTTGGACATGACTGAGTGACTAACACTTTCTTTCATGCCTTCCAGTGCATGAGTTTTTATGAATGCCATCTTCCCCTCCTCTTTTGAAACACATTGAAACTTTGAAGTTACTAGCTCTGAGTCCAAGTTACAGTGGAGAACAAAAACTTATATTCTAGTGTGAACAAATAAAGAAAACCATCACCTAATTTGCAATCAGGGTCAGCATTCTGAAGGATAAAATAGTGTGATGGTCTAGACACTATAAGAGGAGACCGCTTTAGATAGAGTAATCAGGAAAGGCTTCTTGGAGGTGGTGACCCCTGAAAGGAGATGAGAGATCATGCAATGGCCTGAGGGCAAAGAGAACTTTGGTGTGCTTGAGGAACCACAAGAAGTGTGAGAGACTAGTGACCAACCAAAAAAAGTCCTGGGAGGCAGGAGCCTGACCTTGAAAGGTCTTGAACTTCCTGATAAGGGCTTGGATTTTATTCTAAAGGGGGTGACCTGCTCCGATGTGGTTTTAAATGATCTCTTTGGAGAATGAATGATCTCTTTGGAGAAGGACAATGGTCAAAGCATGGGAACGAGTTTGGAGCCGCTGTAGTTGTTTGGACAAGAGAGGATGACAGCTTGGTGGAGGGAGATGTTTGAACACAGAGAGAAGTAAATGGATTCAAGAACTCCTAAGGTGGAACCATCAGGGTTTGCTAATGAAATGATGTAGTGTGTGTGTGTGTGCTCTTTTGCACACTGGCTAGGGTTTGGACCTGAGCAACTTTGGACATGGCGGTACTATTTCTAGAAATAGGGAAGATGAGAGAAGAGCAAGTTTGGGACACAGAGGGGTCAAGGAAGTGAGAGTTCCTTTTTGGTCAAATTTCATTTCGAAATGCATTTTTGACACCCACTTGAGATGCCAAGTAGGCAGTTGGATAAACACATTGATTTAGGGATGGTGGGTCTGTCTGGAGAGGTAAAACATTTAGATATTATATAAAGCCAAGGGAGCTGTCATTGGAAGGTGGCTGTATTTTCCACTTTCTAAACGTCTTTATCACAAAGTTTCTGAGTAATAAGAAAAAGAAATTAAATCGAGGGGAAGAGAGAGAACAACTCCAATTTCATCTATAGCCCATGTCTCGCCGCAGAACAAGTGTTCGGCTCATGCAAGTGCCTCTGGGGATGGCACACTCTTATGACACATGGGACATGCACACCACCTGCTGGTCATTTCTGGGCTTTCTCCAACACACCCTTCAGGCCAGGCTAAGGCTTCGTTTCTAGTGTAAGCGGGCATGAGAGTACGAAAGAAATCCAGGTCAAGGTTGCTGCCCTCCATAGCTAAGCAGAGACCACAGATGCCACGGGTGTGGTGGCATAGTGGGTTTGGAGCAGAGAGAGCTGGTTTGGGATGTCACCTTTGCTTAAGCAGATGGCAAGGCTCTTGCCCCTAGAGTCTACAGTAGCACATCCAACAAAACTTTCTGTGTCGTTGGGAATGTTCTGTCTCTTCTGTTCAGGGTGGTGCCACTAGCCGCCCCTGACAGTTAGAGCCCTTGAAATGTGGCTGGTGGAACTGAGAATCTGACTTTTAAAATTCTAATTACTTTATTTTTTTCAAACTTTATAAACTTTTTATTTTGTGTTGTGTGTTAGTTGTTCAGTCATGTCCAACTCTTTGAGAGCCCATGGATTGTAGTCTGCCAGGCTTCTATGCTCATGGGATTCTCCAGGCAAGAATACTGGAGTGGATTGCCATTCCCTTCTCCAGAGGATCCTCCTGACCCAGGGATCAAACCCTGGTCTTCTACATCGTAGGCAGATTCTTCACCAATTTTGTATTGGGGCATAGCTAATTAACAACATTGTGGTCATTTCAGGTGAACAGCGAAGAGACTCAGCCATCCATAAACATGTATCCATTCTTCCCCAAACCCTCTTCCCATACAAGCTGGCACATAACACTGAGCAGAGTTCCATGTGCTACGCAATAGGTCCTTGTTGGTTATCCATTTTAAATACACCAGGTGTGTACATGACCTTCCTAGACTCCCCAACTATTCCTTACCCCCAGTAATCGTAAGTTCATTTTATGTCTGTGAGTCTTTTCTGTATTGTTAGTAAGTTCATTTGTATCATTTTTTTAAGATTCCACATTTAAGGAGTATCATCCTATAGTTCTTATAAGTTTAAATATCCACCTGTAGTTAGTGACTGCTGTATTGAATAACAGAGTTCTTTGTTTGGATTTTTTTGGCTGTACCACAAGGCATGTGAGATATTAGTTCCCTGACCAGGAATCAAATTGATGTCCCCTGCATTGGACACAGAGTGTTAACCAGCTGACTGCCGAAGAAGTCCCTTGAATAACACAATTTTAAAGGCTTAATTTCTTCACCTGTGCAAGGGGGATGATAACACATATCTATGGGAGCTTATGCAAGTTAAAGGAAATAATATGAAAGAACTTCTAGCAAGATGGATGGCCTATAACAGGCAGTTATAATGTGTGTTTGGATATACACCCACTGAAATCTGAGGAACATTCCACCTGCACACCCATTGCTAAATTTTTCATTAATCTCCTGCTGTGAATTCAAAAGGAAAAACAGGGAATATTCATTAGCACCACAGGTCTGTCTCTCTTAAAAAAATCTGTTTGGAATGAATCAGTCAATGTGGTGTTTTGTATTTTTTTCACCCTCTCTCTGAGATGGGAGACTATATCAGCTTATGGTAAGAGAGTCATCCCAGTCAATGAATAATCAGAGGCAAAGCCAAGCAGATGATAAATCTTGGCCTCCATCCTGTGAAGCCACCCACTAAGCAACGTTGAATAAATCTGTTCAGGCTTAGCATATTTTTCAGGGTAATTGGTTGCAGTTTTCTCAGAGTCTTCAATTGGTTAACCTTAAGTTGGACTTATGCCAACCTAATAAAACAGAGAATGAAGTAAGTTCTGATTTTGGTTTTAAGTTTCAGGGAGGGGACTATGGCATTAGACTTGACAGTGCTGAGAGCAAAAAGAAATGTTTATTCAGGCTTCTTTACCCTGAATGCAAGCAACATCTGGGTTTCTGTTATTTTCCCAGATGGTTCCCTTCTCCTTGGAGAGGGCTACAGGTGACTTAGAGAGAACTTCACGGAATACCATGTAATTAAACTAATTATGGCTCTTGTCGAGGCGGGATGTTCGCATTTTAAATCATGGGGTGAGGAAGCTGTGAAGATAAACAAGTGACACTTTCTAGAAATGGTTAACTGTGTGGGCTTAGAGTCAGGAGATCTGGGTTCAAGTACTAGCTTCTCCCCTTGGCCACGGGGTGACCTGGAGTAACTCATTAAGGTCTCAGAGCCTCTGTCTTCTTGTCAGTAAAATGGGCATAATGCTACCTGCCTCAACAGACAAGGAGAAATAAGATGTTGCCCGTGAAGCATCAGCACAATGCCTGGTGTGTGGTAGAGACTAAAATCATGCTGGGTAGTTTTAGGTTACCTCTGCTTTAGGGTGATACAGTGATGCTTCTGAGAAAAAACTCACAGTGTAACCTTTCTGTGTCTCCACAATTGTTATGGGCTGTTATGTTTGTTATGGGTTGCATCATCTCCCCCCAAATTTGTATGCTGAATCCCTAACCCCCAGCAATTCAGAATGTGACTTTATTTGGAGACAGCATCTTTAAAGAGGTGATGAAAGTAAAATGAGGTCATTAGGGTGGGCCCTCATCCAATAAGACTGGTGTCCTGTTAAGATGAAGAAATTTGGACACACACATGCACCGAGGAAAGATCATGTGAAGACGGAGGGAGGAGACAGCCATCAGCAAACCAAGAAGAGATGTTTTAGAAGAAACCAACCCTGCTGACAGACTTGTAGCCTTTACAACTGTGAGAAAATATATTTCTATAGTTTAAGCCACCCTGTTTGTGGTAGTTAGTTACAATAGCCTTGGCAAACCAGTGTATGCACTCTGCCTGGCCCTCAGGCATTCACTATTTTCAGCAAATATTTTTTAGGCCTACTGTGTTCTAGGCTCTGAATATACAAAGCTGAAAAACACAGCTTCTATGCTCACAAAACATATCTTCATTCCTTAATCAAACCTGCATTAAGGAGTTAGGTGGGTGAGGGAGAACAGTTATGAGATAAGGTTGAGGGGACAGGAAGTATGCACCCAGTTCATCAACTACAAGTTTTTATGTGTGTTGATAGGAAGTGTGCACCCAGCTCATCAACTACAAGTTTTTATGTGGGCTTTGTTTATAAAAAGCCAGCACTGGAACTCAGTCCAGCTAAGGTCCACCACTGCTGTCCTCACAAACATCACTGTGATTCTTGTTGAGGGTTGGCTGTGCTAGGATGCACCACTCATATCCTCCTTCTGCCCCAAGAGATGGGAATGATGCTGAAAGACAGCCATCTGTTGTCATCCAGCTTTGGGGATCATATTAACTGAAGAAAACTGCCTTGCCTGGTCATACTTTTTCCAAGGTCATGGAGAGACAATGCACATTCAGTGACTAGGAAATGTGAGGGTTTAAAGCT